AGGAAGACAGATCAGGGGGATTTGCCTAGGAGAGCAGCACCAGGGAGGAAGAGGGCCACAGAATGATTTGTGCTGGGTGAGCTCCTGGTTCCCATCCCCCGGCCCCAGCTGATAGAAGAAGTCAGCCTTATGCTACCACTGAGCAGGGTGGGGCAGGAAGGGGCTGGGAGCATATGGGTGGGGGGTGAGGTACTGCAGTGGCAGATCACTCCTGCACCCACCTCCAGGTCAAAAGCAACTCAACAGAGGGCTCACAGTCCACACTCCCTGTGCAGTTACCCGTGTCGCCAGAGATTGCACTCAGGCAGCTCCAAATTGTGTGTGGTGCCCTACAACCAGAGCACCCTGGGAGGCCACCCACGTCACCTATCCTGAAAGCCAGCTCTGCAAACACTCAGGAAACTGTTCATCAACATCAGTAATTGTCATAGCCTCATTTCCATTTTATACGTGGTAAACCAATGCAGATGTTGTGACTTCACAAGGCCACACAGCAAGCCTAGGACAGAGCCATTAGATTTAAGAAGATCTGGGTTTGCTGGAAGAATATGCAAATGTAATACTTTGCTTTCCTAACAATATCCTGAATGGGTGATATATAAATTAAAGCCTTTGGTATATAAGAATGAAAGGATGTAAAACTGAAAAGGAATCAAATTGTGCATTTTGTGGTAGATGGAATCACCTTTCTAAAAGTTGCAAATGGAGTAATACACCTGAAATAAGTTGTGTCTACCCTGTCCATTTAGAATACTTGGGTTGCCTGAGCCCAGATTTAAGTATGGCACACTGAATTGTTTTATTCACTGCTTTCATAGGTAAGTATTTATTGTCAATTACCTCTGTATCTGTCTTATGAAGAACAATCCAACACTTTGGGATAAGAATGGAGTCTTTGTCTTAGAATACTCGATAATATGCTGGTCCTAATATAAAGAAATGTTCCGTGCCTTGTTAAATGTGGAGACAAATGTGAAGTTGGTAGTCCTTCTGTACTCTTAACGTCTCACTGCGCTCCACCTTTTAATACTCTGTGAAGAATGAGCAGTCCAGATACCATGCCAAGAGGGAGCCAAAAATATTGCAATGGGCAAAAAGCTGATAACATTATTGCACTAAAGAAACATTGTGCAGTGTCACTGACATTAATACTAATGAAGACATCCTGCTGTTAATGTTCACTAATTGAGAGGGCCACCAGAGTTGGAGCTATAATTATTCTCCTATTATATTCTAGTCCTCCTTTGTAAATTGCTTTATCAGTTTACCATTACTGGAGACAAATTCCATCATGAAAGACATTAACCTTATTGAAGTGTTTGTCAGATAATAGAGTTTCTTAGGCATTAACCTGACTGGATTAGACTAATCTGTTGCTGCTGGAAACCTTGTTTCCAGCATTAAGTTAGACAATAGCTTCAAATTACCTGTACTGAGGAGGTTAAACTATGGTGCAGATCATGTTTTGAGGAAGAGAAAACGTTCCCAACATTTCCAATACCATCCTCACCTTCAGTACAGGCCGGATCAGGTATTCAGGTTTCTCATTCTCTCTATCTAATCCAAATGTTGATATTTTTTCTGCTAGTTTATGAATATACATGGAGTTTGAGCTCAGCTATTTTTTTTACTCAGTTTACACTGTTTACAGTTTAATGTTATACCTTTGAATTGTTGTGTTAATAAATATAATTGTTTTATACCTTTTTGTATTTGAGCATTATATATTTCACACAAATATTTTGATTTTACCAGTTTAATTACATCAGTACAGTATTCTATATTATATTTCCCTAACTGAATTCTGAACATTTGCAAGATTAGGCTAAAAGTTGACTCAGAGCTATTTAAGATAACACTACTTACATTCAATGTAAAGTATGAATTGTTAACTTTGCTCACCTTAATTTTATTCTTAAGTGATACAATATTTCCAGAATAAAAGCAATACTTACTAAAGTTAAGGTCTATTTTTGTTAAATCCATAAAAACTATATGTTATTAATCAATGAAGCTCTATATTTCACATAAATAAAGCACCAAAGAAGTTGCAATAAGCTACAATGTAGCTTGGAAGGCTTATTTAATATTACTTTACAGCGATTATTTTCAGGAAAGTTCTCTCTCTTAAACCTCTACAATATAGCAGCAGATGTCTTACATTTGATATTTGGGAATGTATTTAATTCCTCCCATAACCTCTACAGACTCTTTGTAAATGCTAGGCAATATAAGAAAAATTTTTTCATCAGGCAAAAGAAGCATTCAAATAGAATTTTCTTTCCATTCTGCAGACTAGCTAACAACTGGGGTAGAAGCAATAAGGAAGTTTGAACAATCCCCATTTTCCCTTTATCCATGAATCTGCTAGTCAACTGGGTTTAGGAAAATCTGAAACTAGCAGGATTTCCAACTAACTCTATTTGAAAGTTCATTTTAGTGGGACTTTAAATCTGCTTTCTTCAGAAGCAGAAAAAGGCAGGGCTTTAATATACAACGCCTATCTCTTACAAGAATATATCTCATTGAAAATAATGTTCCTTGGAAAGTTATATGTTTGCTTAGTCCTCTTTATATTAAGCAAGGGAAGTGAAAAATAGAACATTTAACTGTTTTTCCACTACAGAGAACTGGAAGATTTAGGAAACTCCAGGTTGTTCTTGTTCTCATTTTTTCTCTCTCTGTCTCTCCTACCTCTTTTACATACAACTGAGCTATATTATTGATAGGCTAAATTCCTAGGGGATTATTAAAATATCTGACTCCATAGCAATTAAATATTTGAGATAGCAGTTAATGCTAGAAGGAAATAAAATTGCTCTCTAACTTGGTGGTTAAGGTAGACACCTGGCAGTTCTGGATTCAAATCCCTGCTCCAATTATATTTATTTTTCTTGGTGGTTAGGACATCTAACTAACAGACTTGATTTCAAATCCCTGCTCTATTTAATATATATATTTCTTTTACAAAGTGTAAAGCTTCAGTGAGAGAGACCCACCACAAACTATAGCTCAGTGGTTAGGCCATTCTCCTGAGGTGGAAGGATTTGGGTCAAACTTCCATTCTGAATCAGCCAAAAAGGAGATTTGAATCTGAGTCTTCAAACTTCCAGGTGATTAGTGTAAGTTTAAAAGTTTATGTTACTAGTGGGTACTAGCACTCCTGGTTTTCTGAATATAGCCCTTTGCTTTTGTTAAAAACTCCTAGAAGTAAAACAAGACTATTAATTTTATGGATCAAACACAATGTTTCTATTTGCAAATATTCTGAAAAATCTCAGTTTAGTGTTAAATTAAAACTTATTTTTGATTTAGTTACCACCAAACTGAAAAAAAAGTATTTGCATAGTCTACAGTAAAATCTGGTTAATTCATTATTCCACAGGGTTTTGGTTTGATGGCTATTTATCAGTGAATGACACGTTCTCAGGACTATTCATTTTCAGCTTTGTGTGAGGTGTATTTTACAAATCATATTAATACAAAGTTAAGAATGATTTTGACATTTATAATACAGAAGAAAAACATACAAAAATAGCAAGTGCAAATTTTATGAACTCTGGCTTGCTATGAGACCTGTATGATTACATAAACTAACACCTAACAGGCAACTTCTTACTACCAAGATTCAGAGTGCTTGTGCTATAAGAATTATGTGATTGTGGGAAAAATTAAATAATTAGTCAAAAGATTTTTGTTTTGCATTCTTACATGTACACATCACCAAAATGGAAGATAATTCTGCAAAAAAGATTTGTTATCATCTATGTCTGGTTGAACCAAGAAAAGCTAAAGAACATCCAATGCTTTGTAAGTATCAGCTGGTTTGACAGTTCACTATGTTTTCAGTTGAGCTATAATCATGACCAAATTCCACTGTGATTTAGTATGTGTGTACATTTGGGAATGACTAATTATGCTTTAATAGATTATGGAAAAGTATTTAATAGATTATGCAAAAGTATTTTGTGTATAAAAATCAATGTGCTCAACTTCTTAGCTGGGTAGGGATATGTTTAAGCATGTGCATAGTTACTTCCCTATGTGAGGGTGATGGGAAATAAATTAAGTTTCTTTAGTAGAAGGCTTCATGCCTTTTTTCGATTAGTTCAGTGACAAATGCCAAGATCCCTGTTTTTCATGTATCATCTGATCATTCTTTACCACTATAGGCCTTATGGAAAATGTAATCACCCTGTTGTGAGTTATATTAGAAAAAATAAACAAATTATACAAGATAATAATTCTAAATTGGTCTGTTCTGAGGTCACTCAGCAGCTCCCAGGTTGAAGCATTCACAGGGACAAAAACAATGGGGAAGCACTGGGATCAGAGTTAATTAAGAATTAACTAGGCAAACATTAGCTACATGCACAAGAATAACAATATGAACATTACAAAAAATTATGATATTTTAAACTTATTTTCAGACTGGTCAATTGTTTGGCTAAAATACAAATGATCACATCCTTACTGCTAAACATCTTGCCTGTCACTCATAAATAGTCCACAACAAGTACACTGTAAAATCAGGGGGGGGGAAATGTAATTAAATTTCAGTAATATATATAATCAGAATTTGCTATAACGGCAGTAATGTTTTGCGTAATTATTATTTTTAGCCAAACCTTTACCTTTCAAAGTAAGTGACATTTTTTAAAATAAAATAAGCCACTTACA